GACGCAACTCCGTACAGCGACGACTGGGTCACCCGTGCTCACTCCAGTAGAGGAGATAAGTCCCCAGTGGTGATGAACATGGAAGTTTATCATCATGATCCACACATTTATTTGATTATTTTGAATAAAAGCGACAAAACCCTTTCCGTATTCATAAGAAATCTCTCATAAAAGCAGAGCCGACTGGGCGATGCCGACTATAACATGAGCATGTGTTTATGAATCACTATCAAATAGTTATGATACCAGTATCATTCTGATCATTCTGAAGAACAGCCTCGATTGCCCAGTGTATTCTATTTTCATTCTTTCTTTTATATAAAAAGCCTGGACCCATAACTTGGTTTCGGAAGTGACGTCACCACATCACTGAATGATTCATTCTCATGAGAGTTATGCGATAATATGACTACTTTTAGCTTCTGCCAAATCGTGCTCAAATCGAATCTGAGGTGTCGATTCTGTTCAGGGTATTTTTGAAAATAGAAAAATTAGAAATATGATATGAATGTAGATACATTAATAGATCACCCTGTCCCAGTAGAATACGGCTATGTAGAAGCATATACTCCGATGACAAATGTCACAAAGGGGGCCATTTGCAAAAGATACATTTGGGAGGGTATATACCACGGTCCAGTAAGGATTAATATTATATTTAACTTTTGTAATTTGAAGGTATTTGGTCCCGAGATTTGAAAAACGAAAGCCTGTATTTTATTGATATTATTGTCATTATCATGCCATATTTTGTAATAATATATGCATTTTGGGAATTAATTATACTGTCTACATTTATATACGATTAAACCCAAACCTTATCTGTCGGTTTAAACTCTCCGTCATTTCTTTCGGAAATCAATATTAACGCTCTTAGCAACCAGGAAATAAACAATGACGTCAAGAAGGGGAGTTCCCCCGTACGTGCTGAGCGGGGGCTTCTAGCCTTGAGACGACCTTGGATACACCTTGGCGCCCCGCGTGGCTATATATACCTAGCGCAATGACAGCACTCGGAGAGGAAACACCGACAGCGGCATGGATCAGTATTTATAGCAGCGCCCGGTGGGAAAATCAGTGTCTCTTTTCTTATGTATGGATAGGTGTGATGTACTGTGTGGTATGTGCTTGGTTTAAGTGATGGGGAATTCCCTCTGAAACATCAAACGGCGATATCATAAACCAGGTGATACTTATTAAATAGGATGAATATAGTCCGGTCAGGTGAGATATTTTGGATATATTATCTATATAGTTGTTGTATATTTTGTGACAATTCTATGTTTGTGTTTTAAATATCTTATGAAAAGAATTGTGAAATTACATCAGTTTTGCTTGATATGCATCGTTGAAATTGCTATTGTAAATTTCGTCATGTGACTTCCACACTAAATAGGTAGTCGATGACAATATATCTGCTTATTAAAGACAGAGAAAGGGCGTTGTAGAATATTGGTGTTATCATTCAAAGATGATGTTTGTTGTACAGCAGTTAATACCGCGGTATGCTGTACTACAGAAGTTAACACTGAGGTATCTATGTACTACAGCCCTTAATACCGCAGATAGTAAGCCAGTGCTTTTATGTGTAAACTTCAATTGGCCATATGTGTAAATTTACTGAAGCGTAATAAATGAAAAATACAATACACGCCTTTCCACACGTAGTACATGTATGCGTTAGATACAGTAACCATGGTGGAAATATATTCTTTCTTAGTTTTGTTTTATTGGCGTTACGAACCACAGATCGTATATGGGTAGATTGTTCTCTGCCAGAACGGATTTCTGTGATCTATATATCATATATCAGCACATTAATTTTATTAATCATCGTAGGTTACATACACTGTAAATAAAGTAAATAAAAGCGAAAGGCCATTCCATTATCATGAGAAAGATTCCGTTGTACAATTCCACACTATCATAAGCATGTGTCTATCACTATCAAATAGTGATAGTACCAGGTGTTCGCGTAAAGGTGAGTGAGTAAGTGAGTTCCATTTTACGGCGCTTTGAACATTATTCCAGTTATATCCCAGCCATCGGCGTTCACTTTTGTCACTAATGGCTCACATTTGAAAATTTCCTCCACATATACACCATTATTAAACCTCAAAGTGAGATTGACCAATCAGAGAGCAGAACTACTAACCCCCACATGAGCCCGTGTACCGTCAGTAAAAAATCCAAGATGGTTGTTACTGACCTAATATGAGACCTATACCGCCAGTAACAGCCATCTTGGATTTTCCAACACCCACCTCACATATTTCACATGAAAATTCTGGTACCGAAATTCATTATTTGACACCGAATTGTGTTTTACTATCCTTATTTGTGATGTGCAAGGACATTAATCTGTGTTTTAGATCACGTTCGTGACCTTATTGATAAAGATTATAGTTAAAATTGTCAACAAGGTTTGGCCTCTACGTTTTGGAGAGTTGTCTCCCTTTGACCCTTAACGCAGTTGGCGCCTATGGGGATGCCCATGGCAACTCCATGCCTGAATGTCTCCAATATTCATATCTATGAGGAAGACCTTTCCTTTAATTTTTGACTGTAAACCTCTTACGATCCTTTCTGAGATTACAATTTATCATCCCAAACTGGCTCCCTTGGGTGAGATCAAGCGATATCTACATTGTAGATATCGCTGCAATGACATTGCATCACAATGCTTTGCAGACCATTGTGACGTCATTGGTTACCATGGCGTCACAACCAAAAGACATCACAAATGGCTCTGCTACTGAAGCTGTTACCAGTACTTTTTACACTTAAGACACTGCTTATTATTGTCTAAAAACTGAAAAAGTTTGAAGAATGATGTTGGATGATAAATAAAATCTCACCCTCGTGTCTTATGATAGATAAAATATCAACACTCGTTGATAAAAGTGGAAAAAGTCCTCGGCAATTGTCTATGAGATTCTCTATTTGTCACTCGTACGGATTTTTTAGGTTTTAAATCCAGCACGAATGAGGAATAGACAGAGACAAGTAAAAAATTGATTATACTGATGCGTGGTTTTGGCAACTAAAAACATTTCATGTGGAGCAGCCAGACGTTGGATGACAGCTGGCTGCACCAGAATGGGTTTATTCCAATTCTGTTTCCTCTTTCTGTCAGTGAAGTCTACTTATGAGAACATCACGAACTGACTGAACTGACTCTGAAAGTCATTTAACAGCGGCATATGATTCGACAGCATCCATCATGATTTTTTAAAAGGTGTGATCCCAGTTGGTAGGAGGCTGCTTGCGATATTTTGACGAAGGTTGTTATTATGAACACCAGAGACGCCCCATGTTAGTATATGAAAAAAACTAGTAAAGAGCAGTGAGACGAGTAAATCATGTAAACGAAAAACTGGCTGTAATGGTGGACGTGTCCACAATGAAACTCGGTGAAAATGCCCGACATTCTGGGCCCTACGGTTTGAGGACACCATCGTCATGTATACATACGTGTTGAGGTCACATATATAACATACCTGTATACATACGTGTTGAGGTCGCCATATATAATATGCATCTATATATACGTGTTGAGGTCACCATCTTAATATACATGTATACAAACGTGTTGAGTTCGCCATATGTAATATTATCCATATGTACGTGTTGAGGTCACCATTTTAATATACCTCTTTGCACACGTGTTGAGGTCACATACGTAATATACCTGTATACACACGTGTTGAGGTCACATACGTAATATACCTGTATACACACGTGTTGAGGTCACATACGTAATATACCTGTATACACACGTGTTGAGGTCACTTATGTAATACACATGTATACATACCCGTTGAGGTCACATATGTAATACACATGTATACATACCCGTTGAGGTCACATATGTAATACACATGTATACATACCTGTTGAGGTGACCATATGTAATATACCTGTATACACACGTGTTGAGGTCACATACGTAATATACCTGTATACATACGTGTTGAGGTCACATATGTAATACACATGTATACATACCTGTTGAGGTCACATATGTAATACACATGTATACATACCTGTTGAGGTCACATATGTAATACACATGTATACACACCTGTTGAGGTCACCATATGTAATACACATCTATACATAGTAATGTGCATGAATACATACGTGTTGAGGACACCCTATATAATATACATCTATACATACGTGTTGGATATTACAGGCACCACGTGAAATCACTGATCTACACAATCAATGTCACAGCGTACTGATGCAACAGAACGCTGAGTATGAAGAGCTATGCCAGTGAATAAAACTCGCTTGATGTAAATGATTGCAGTAGCACATAAAGCAATTGTAGTTATTTAGAACGGTTGGACGAGCCACATCGAAGTGAAATATTTTACCTTGTGTATTGGTGTGCGTGTGCGTGTGCGTGTGCGTGTGCGTGTGCGTGTGTAAATATATGTGAGTGTATGTTTGTGCGTGTGTGTGCGCGCGTGTGTGTGCGTGCGTGCGTGTATGTATGTGCGCGTGTGTGTAAATGTGTGTTATCCCTGCGCGTCAGCTTGATGCTGGAGGAAATCCAAAGATGAAGCCTGTCTGAAACCCACACGCACGTGTCTGTGCTCACAAACATTATCAAGATGAACCGGGATTCAAACCCAAGATCACAGGTTCCGGCGCGCCAACTCGACACAGCGACGACGACTGGGCCATCAGTGTCCCCTTCCGGGTAACAGCTACCTCGAGATATTATTCAGCTGATGGATCAATACCTTTTAATTGTATTGGAGTTGGTACAGCTACATTTAGTCTCATTCGTTACAGGTGATACACACGCAGGTAACGCTATCACATGCACATTGAGTGTTGACAACGTTGCCAGCGTAGGCGGCACGCAGCGAAGAACGATCCTTCTGTGTTGTGATTCAGTGCATGCCAGTGTATAAATTGACCTTCAAATAACTAATTTGAAATGACACGATGTGTACTTTGTCTTTCAGAACAGTAGCCATGCTGCAACGAAGTATCTGATCTATAATTTTCATTTTTAACAACGTTAACAACGTTTTCCTGTATGTGCATAACATCTGATGAGTTGTATTCTCCGCGTTGTTTGGAAATGCTCAAAGGTCAGCATGGGCAGGGTGTTGATGTGGATAATTCTGCTTAGCGTGCCTTCATGTCGCTCTTCGGATATGCCGACACAGCCCTCAACTGAGACGGCGTCTCTGGATGATCCCCGGGAGATATCTCTTCAGCATGTGTCCAACGGTACTGGATTATCACAGGACCATTCAACAGGCGACAAATTATTCACGGATGATACTGACCTTGACCCGACACTTAAAGATCAACGTCACAACGTCACTGGGAGTACTAGTTCAAGGTCGCGTCAACTTGGGATTTTACCTGTCCTCTTCCCTCCTGTATGGGCGGGAATCATCCAGGCCGGCATGGACATCTACAGCTACAACGTCACTGACGACTGCAAGGTGGAACTTTACCACTACGCCGTGGACCTTCAACGTAGGAAGGACTGGGCTATAAACAGTGAGTAATTTCTTATGAGTGTTAGCAGTGGGAGTGGGCTGATTTTTTCAGTTCAGGTCGATTACATTCGTAGTTAGTCATGATACATTATTTGCACATAATGATAACAACACGGAATAGCAAGCGGACGGTCGTTGGGCCAACACGCTAACCACTGGCCTATAGCACCCTATGACCCTATTATGCCCCAAATATTAATTATGTTTCATTGTTGTGGTCTAAGCTGATGCCACCACAGTGTCAAGGGGCATTCATACGGTACGACTAGCTGGTACAACTTGTTGTAGGCATTACGGTGTAGGAACTGAAGTTGTATACAATTCGGCATCCACTCGGCGGCGGGTTACACACTTATTGCAGCTTCGCAGTCACGATACAATGTTTTGCATGCAACGAATTGTATACAACTAGTTGTACCGTGCGAATGTCGCCTTTTGCAAACACTACATTAAGTCAACACATGAAATTTGAAGGAAGACTAGTTCGATTTATTATTGCATAGGCGACATCAATCAAGTCATGCGCTAGCAATGCGTTACTGCAAATGCGACAAATACTAGTACCCTACATAGTATTGTAAGAAACAGTGCATAATAATGTAACAGTGCACAGGCACACTACATATCTTTCTGAATAAATATCAGATTTAGGCTACAGCAATGAGTCATGCGACCTTTGACATACTCCATTCAAAAGGACTTAATGACAATCACGTCACGTAACACTCGCGTTAAGGTCATCATCTTCCTTCTGTACGTAAGACATGCATGCCCACAGAGACGAGTCCAGTGTCGATTCTCTGCTGCCGTATGTTCTGTGATATATTTTGATCAGGTCCTCTTGGGTGATGTTCGATAGACAAAACCTCTTAAGATGGACACAATGTGGATTCAATGTGTGACCCGACAGGGTCGTGCTTTCAACCAGTAATTGATGTAGTCAAATTCAATTTGTTTAAATAATGTTGAAATAAAAATTTAAATATACACAATGTGTGTCGGTACTCGTTCTATCAACCACTAGTTGATGTAATTAAATTCAATTTGTTGAAATAATGTTGATATATAAATTGAAATATACACCATGTTTGCCCGTGCTCTTGCTATCAACCTCTCGTTGATTTAATCAAATTCACTTTGTTTAAATAATGTTGAAACAATAATTGACATATACACCATGTCGTTGAAAAAGACCTTTATAAAGTGACATGTACCCGAAATGTGTGTATTTTGTTTACCCTTTTCACCTGGTGTCATCACCGATTTTCAGAGATCCATCCAGATATATTTACTTCTGATTTGTAGTGTATGATGCAACTGGTAAGCAAGGTCCTGGGTTAATGAAGGGCTCAGTCACGTGGCATGGGAACTACGACCAATGTAGAGCCGTTCGTCACTCGATGACATCACATGGCCCAGGAAGTGACGTCAAGAGGGAAATACAAGCTCAGTACTGCTCGGCTTCGTTTGATTCCCCTGGGTGGTTGGAGGACTACATAGCTGATCAGGTGACAATGGAGTAGCCTAGTGGTTAAAGCGTCCGCTCTTCGCGCTGAAGGTCCAGGTTTGATTTCCCACATGAGTACAATGTTTGGAAAATAGATTCATGATTCATTTAAAACGTCGTTCACATTTCCTGCGACAATGTCCACAGTACAATTAAATGAACTGCTTCCTATGTGTATTTAGTGGGTTGACCACACCAAGGGGAGAATAGATCAACAAAGTAGCAATGTCAAAAGACATATATTGCACACCGAAAGCTAAGGAAGAAATCGTTTAAAACAAAAGGTGATTAAAAAAAAATGCTTGGCAATGTCATTCAAAAATATAGATAATATCCAAGCCTACTGATTGACGTCGGTATAGAACACAGTGTAGCGACACTTCATAATCACTGTGACTGGAGATATGAGAAACACATATTATCACATTATATAAGCCTAACCCTTAAACAAAGCATAACTCTTTACATCATATTGGAACACGGATGGCCCATGCACCGCAATGCGCTGTGTAGAGTTGCGTCCATTGGGCAGAAACCTATGACTGTGGGTTCGAATCCCTGTTAGCCCCCCTGTTTCTAGGTTTGTCAGCACCATGCATGTGTTCGTTAGTTTCATCAAAGTGGCAAACGTCTGAGACCTTCATCACGTCGGGCTATCCTTCCGCATTAAGCTGACACGCCGTGATATAACGGGAATACTGTTAAAAGCGGCGGTAAACCCAACTCACTTACTCACTCACTCACTCTAGACCGTATAGCAATATACTAGGTTCGCCAGAAGGTTTATCTCGGAAAAGAAATAAAACGTTCTTGCAACTGCAGATGACAATATACTCATGATAGATGGAATCGTATATATTAGTGGCGCCTAGCATGATACACACTATGAGTGAGTGAGTGAGTGGGTTAGTGAGTTTGGTTTCACAATATTTGAGTTACAGCACTGCGTATGGACATGATTTTGAAGAAAAACCTCAAAGTTATAAAGTCCTAAACGAAACCCACCAGCTCGGTTACGGTACGGACAAACCTACAAAAATATAATCAGTGCGAATCTGGATTTGAATCCCGTTCATAGGTTTCTAGTACGCCTTAGGGATCAAACTCCGTACCCCTACCACATACTGAGATGAACAGCACACAAATCGTTGATAACTTCATCACAACAAAAATACCAAATATTTGTCAATGCACTTCTTGCATGTAATGACATTCTTGCATCATGGTGTTGTCTGCTGCAGCACCTGCCGTTCCCTGTGCACCTGCCGCACCTGACAGAGGACATCTGCATCCCTTCTGGATGTGTACAGGAGGATCTCACCACCATCATCAACACATGTAGGTACTATAGGTGTTTCAGTTTGATATCCATTTTGCCAATCTACTTCTACATTCTGCTAATGGCATGGGCGTTGATTGTGAGGAAATAGCCTGAATGATTTATTTGTATTTGATGACGTACTCAGCAATATTGAGTAATGAGCCTCGATCTAGGCAATTGACATACGATGTATTGCATCAACCAAAACAGCGAGCCTTACCATCCGATCGCGTTAGTCGCCTCTTTCGACAAGCATGGGTTTCTGAATTCTTACCCGGATCTTTACAGTTAAATGCATAACCATTTTCCAGAACGCATATAAAATACAAGACTGAATTTTAAGGAAATAAAACAGCAAGATGTTGATGATAAGAATATACTTGTATAATCAGTGTGATTTATCTTGCTTTATTGCATGTGCAGTTTACACACCTTTCTTGTGCTTTATGCACAGAGAACTCTCGTCAGGGCATCGTTGATGTTTCCGTAAAATCATCCGCATTGACGTAGGTTATGGAATCATGGATACACCGTTTTGTCTATATAATCGTATGCAGATGTTCCATGCAAAAATTCACTTAGTAGCACAGTAATTAGACCCGTGAAGATCCGGGATAGAATAGGTCTTCAGCAACCCATGCTTGCCGTAAAAGGCGACTATGCTTGTCGTAATAGGCGACTAACGGGATCGGATGGTCAGGCTCGCTGACTTGGTTGATGCATGTCATTGTGTCCCAATTGCATGGATCGATGCTCATGATGTCAATCACTGGATTGTCTGGTCCAGTCTCGATTATTTACAGACCGCCGTCATATAGCTGGAATATTGCCAAGTGAAGCGTTAAACAAAAACAAAACTTAGTATTTTCGTTTCAGATAAGGACCAGTCACAAATCAACATCAGCTTGGTCAGCATCACTTGCCAGGAGGACCTGCGACTTGTTGACGATGCGGCGGCCGTATTCTCTGTGTGGGTATATAAGCTGTTGCACTACCACTGTCTATAAGCCGCGTGGAACACCTTTGACCATTTAATGCAAGTATGCATATAAACAACAAAGACAAAATCTTTTTCATAATCATAATTAATCTGATCAAAGAGCAGAATCCATTGCACGATTCCGACTATATCATTAGCCTGTATTTATGAATCAAATAGAGATGATACTAGGTGTTCGCGAGAAGGTAAGCGTATCCTGTCCCATCGGTGACGCCCGACTGAAACACATGCAAAAGCAAGTCACTTGTTCACAACTGTTTGACAAATGAAATATCCATCATCTGGTTATATCTTTGATCTATCCAATTATCTTGTGAGCGAGACCCATCCGTATGAGGCGTCGTAATTATCTGTGCGGAGTTGCGTCCCTTTGGCGTGACAGAAACCTATGATCCAAATTCACCCTGATTATGTTTGTAGATTTGTAAGCATTGCACCCGTGTTCCTGGGTTTCAAGAGGTAAACGTCTATCTGCATCACTAAGGGCTTTCCACTCACATCACCTTGACATCTTTCATTTTAATTCTTCCAGATGTGTCCTTGCCTCATTTGCATCTTTAGTTTTGCTCGGAACCATGGTGACTATCATTGTAAAGCTGACAACTCCAAAGGGAGAGGTTAAGAATACAACCCAGGTAGGATTCTTCAGCAGGAGAGGAAGTGTCTTCTCGGTTGCGCGTCGTAACAGCGTGCGCTCAAATAGGAGTAGCGTCTTTTCACGCTGGAGTAGCACCCACTCCAAACGGGGAAGCAATCACTATCGACTGGACAGTGTTAAACCGGACTCTGTGGAACACCTTGACGTCGTTGAGGTGGATGAGAGGTCCGCTAGCGTGGCTGAGACGAGCTTCACAGTGGGTAATCACGAATCGACAAATATAACCATGGCAGAGGAGGGTTGTGTACGTCAGGTACGTTCTCAAGGAAATGATTTAGAGTAAGGCCGTTTTTAACATTATTCCAGCTTAATATGGGAGGAAAGCCCGAAGTGATGCAGGTCTCAGACGTTTACCGCTTCGGTGAAACCCACGAGCACGGGTATGGTGCTGACAAACCTATAAACATAATCGGGGCGTACCGGGATTCGAACCCACAATCATAGGTTTCTGGCGTACCTAAGGGACGCAGCTCTTCACAGCGAATCCTGGCGCCTTAGACAACTTGGCCACCCGTGCCCCCGAAATGATTTCGAAGACAAGACAATCAGCAAAATAAAACCGAAATTACTGGCCATCATATTGATAACGACATTGTGCAATTACAGTTTCCACCACATATGTAGCCAGCCAACGCAGTCAATTATGCTTTCAACAAAAATATATTTAGCAAATCGCACAAACGATAACCGTAATACCAGTTGTGAAAACCAGACTCAACATCTATTTGGAAAGTATTTTTAATTTTGGACTAAAGAATGAATGGTAAAACATCCTATATGTGCACATTACTTAATTCAGAATAGTCAGCTGCAGTCTATCGACGAACTGCCAGTAACTTATTCATCAGTCAAGATGGAATATATACAGCGCAGGCAAAATACCCAGACAGAAGAAGACCCATTAAAAGCAGGCTCTCGGAAAATAGGTGAGTTTCGTCAATGTCAATGTTAAACCCCAGTGTCCCTCTTACCGGTCGTCACAGTCAGGAACTAGTTATAAACACCCCTCCGTAATATTCACTGACTCATTAAGCTCATTCCCAGGTTTGATCATTAATATCTTACATAAAGGCTTCTGGTTCAGGTGGGGTGATCACAGATACGCTGTTATGCTTCTCCTTTCCCAACAACGTCGCATCGGTGCTTGGAGAGGGAAACACAAACGTTTTGTTCTGTCTCAATGGGGTCCGCTTCCTCTCCATCTCCTGGATTGTCATGGGCAACAGCATCGGTTTCATCCACAAAGCTCCCGACACTGTTGGTAAGTGTGTGACTTAATGTTTTGAAGTTTGGAAATAGGTCCTTTGTTCAAATCAGTGAAAACTATTTTAGCCATTTTCAGAATTTTGATTTTCAGAGACATTTTCAGATGTCTCTGAGTTCCGCATTGAAACCAACTGACGATCAGTTTGGACGGTTCGTGCTTAGGATACTGATTACGTGTATAAAAATGGATACGTTGATGCGTCTTGGCCTGTTTAATCTGTTTAAATTCAATTAGTAAGGAAAAATGGATGGAACTGCCATCACTTTAGATTGTTGTTCGACACACAAGAAATGGTAATCTTATATGCGTCAGTTGGTTGCCAGCTCACGATTGACAGAATCCAGAAAGCATTATAAATTATTTCTTACATGAAGCAATGTATTCTTTTGAATGGATATGATCTATTTACATCCACGTGAAGATCCGGAGTAGAATAGGTCTTCAGCAACCAAATTGAATGCTTGCCGTAAAAGGCGACTATGCTTGTCGTAAGAAGCGACGAACGGGATCGGGTGGTCAGACTTGGTTGATGCATGTCATCAATCCCAACTGCGTGGATCGATGCTCCTGATATTTTTCACTGGATTGTCTGGTCCAGACACGATTATTTACAGACCGCCGTCATACAGTTGGTATATTACTGAGTGCGACGTTAAACAACAAACAAACCAACCAACATCCACGATCTGTAGAGGATATGACATTTGGCCTAAGAGACACATACTGACCTAAAAGTGTAATTAACATAGCTTCCTTGTCTCCAGAAAACAGTGTAACTGGGGTGGAATTTGCACAGAGTCTATGGTTCCAAGCCATTATCAACTGTACCTTTGCAGCTGACACTTTCTTTATACTCAGGTGATGATACTGTAACAGTTATTCATGTCGATCCAATTCCATATAAGATAAAGTGCGGCTTTATTTAGAATCGTAAAGTGGTACGTGGCACAATGCCACAGAACAGTTTCTCCACCTACGTATCTGCCTCATGCTTCACAAAAAAGATGTGTTCTGAGTTGTGATTTAAAAGAATCAAAATGTTTAGACAGATCTGATATAAATAGGAAGATATAAATATGCGACCGAACAACATTTGAAGAACTATCAATATATTATCTAGACATCTTAACTTGCCGACGATGCATGTTCATTGTTAATTTTGAATTTTGAAATTAATATAAAAGTGTGGTCACATTTTGCCCAATTATGACACAAGACACATCCTCATGATAATCTTTTATCTCCACAGTGGGACGTTGCTCTCCTACAACTTCTTGAGAGGAATTAAGAAGAAGACTGCAGCAGGGGAGAAATTCAAAGTCACACCGAAGCTCATCATTCTGTTTTATCTCCATCGTATTGTTAGGTATTGAAAGACAATTCCTCCCACAGTATGATCATGAAACGTGTGACAGATTGCTACACATAATATAGAAGGCCAATTCTGATAAATTATTCATTTCAATCTCACTTTCAAAATCGTTGATTATGTAGAATGATAATGAGGTGTATGGAAATGTCATATGACACAATGTTACACAGAATGCACATATTTAGCTCCCCCAAATGTTCATGTTAGCTCATGTCATAACGCGATGACAATCGTCCATCCACCCGTCGTACAACTGTGAACTTCCAACATCTCTTACGTTCCTGTTGCTTCTGTCAGATCAATCGTGTCGATAATGTAGATTTGGCCTTCTGGTTATCCAGTTCTTCATGTATCAAAATGTAATGTAATATGTACTGAACAAAACATTTAAGCATCATGAATATTTTTAGGAATATTTTTATGAAATTGTGTACCCAGTCTTCAGTGCAAAAAAATATCCCCCTAACTGTTCATGTATATTTTGTAGAAACATTATTTTTGCGTGTTCTTGTTTCCCCCATAATGGAGCAAATACGAGGGGCGTTTAATAAGTTTTGCAACAAACAATGACAACATGTGGCAGGTGTGACACTAGTCATAACATCAGGTTGACACGTGTCATAACAAGTTCCAGACACACCAATAAGTGAGATGTAATGGCTTCGTTCACCTAATGGTGGTCACAATCATGGATTCTCTCAGACATGAACAACGTGCTGTAACATAGTTCCTTACCAAGGAGGGATGCAAAGCAAAAGAAATCAATATGTGAATTATGTGGATTCGAACAGTTAAATCACCCACCCTACAGCCCAGACTTAGCCCCAAGTGACTATTTCCTGTTCCGGCAAATGAAATCTGCCCTACGTGAAAGACGCTTCCAGGATGACGAGGACATAAAGGCTGCCATAGAGGCGTGGTTAGAGGGCCAATCTGCGGATTTCTATAGAGGTGGTATTGAAAGCTTGAAGGACAAATGGAATAAGTGTATTGAGGGGAATGGAGATTATATTGAAAAATATAAGTGCAAAAGATATTCTGCGACTTGGTCTTATATTGAAGTTGCAAAACTTATTGAACGCCCTCGTACGTGTAGAAAATCAGGTAATTTAGGTAAACGGAGTTCAAGAAGCATGTGGACTTTTTCATTATTGTTCATCATCTCGTGTAGAATATGGCCGTGTTACTTGGTGGTGGTGATGATCTTCACCAACATTCTTCCTTACATGGGGCAAGGACCTCGATGGAAGTATGTCAGCAGTACCATCAGCCAGTGCAAGGACCACTGGTGGGCCAACGTCTTCTTCTTCAGCAACTTCTACAAGGCAGATGAAATGGTGAGAAGGACATGTATGCCTGTATTACCTGCTGGTTTTATTTCCTGATCACGTACCTCTGCGTTAGTTCAATCGCATTATCACTTGTTTGTTATTGACAGAATTTATAAATCATTTATCAAAGTACTAATTTCACGTACAATTCAGGATAGTCTGTGTGGGATGTTCTACTCTCATATTTCGTATTGTAGTGTATGAGCTGGACATACTACTTGGTAAACGACTTCCAGTTCTACCTCATCTCCCCTTTGATACTCATACCTCTGGTCAGGTAAGACCTACAGTTACCTCCCTTTCTATATGAGTTAATTGCATTGTCAGTCTTTTCATGATATTTACAATGGTGTATTTATAACAATATGTGGAAATGGAGGCAACTCTGGGATAGACCAATTTTTACATGTACATATCCTTATTTGCAATAATGTACTTATTGTACATAAAGATTAATTGTTTGTATTTTATAGATAATCAACTTTGTTCGGAACACTGAATTTATCTCATTGAACTCTGATAGTTATAAAATCGTTGACAGAAATTCAGAAGTTCGAAGAACATGAGGACGTAACACATATTATGGATAACAACTTCTTTATTGTTAACTTTGTAACTAAATTTTAGTGTTACTTCTTGTCCCTTCCTCAGAATTATCATTGAAACGTTACAAAAAAAGTGAAGTAATTGTTATCATAAAAAGGTCGTTAGAAGGAATAAAGAAGTTGTTACATGTAAAAACTTCGTTACAAACAGCAGAGAATTTGTTATGTGGGACATGGTTAAGGTCAATGAATTCAGGGAGAATCTACTTTCATCGGATATATTTTGATTGCTTGAGGGCTTTTGTGGCACAGTTCTTTCTGATATTTGTAATGCAGTGACATCTCTTACAAATGCAACACGTCAAACTGCACGGTGTTATGAAACGGAAAACTGTATAAATTGACGAAATTCCGATCTTGGTTTGATAAACATTGCAAATTTCTAAGATATGAGGATAGATTTGGGGGACTGTGTATTTGGCATTTAAATGATGAATCATCGTTCCGAAAGTATTTTTGTATGGAAGAAATATGTACAGGTGCACACAAAAAAATAGTAATACGAATCTGTAAAAGATACATTACTTGAAAATAGACGCTCCGTTTAGATTGGGTTCTCATGAACAACGAATTGGAACTGGCAGGTATATTTGAGAAGCAAGAAATGGGAGATCATGTAAAATCTGTGAACTGCCATATATAGATAAACATACATGAAAGATGAACATAATTTCTTACTCATTTGTAATAAATACCAAGCATTGCGACGGTTGTCCATTACTTTAAAATGTTAAGAATATCCAACAATCCACAAATTTAATATGTTTTAAGTTGGTGTAATTATTAGTTTTAGTAGTGATTATTTTGGTGACTACGGTAGTGAATCACAGCAGCTATGATTACGCGCATTTCCTATACGGAGCTAGACGATAACAGCTAATGGAGTGAATACGGTAATTGTCTGCATAAGCGGTGCGCGTTTGAATTTACATTGTTATAAAGTATAGAGGATGACTATAACTGTATTTAAAGGACTACGGTAATGAAATTGGCGTTAAGTCTGTGTTGTATGAACTATATTACTCTTTACAATATATTCAAATACTTACTTCATGAGGAAAAATAACCTAAGAAATACGGAATGCGTTGTTGTAGCCTATTCTGTTAGCGCGCACGGGAGGTAAAGCTGCTCATATCACCTTTGATCGGTGGACTGTCGGAAAATATTGAATAACCGATCACGTATAAAATAAATCTTGTTTGAAACAGTTGTGTTAACTCTAGGAACCGTTTTGTGACAAAGCTAAATGTACGCTATGCTACTGCACGAAAATATAGACTGTACATGCATCTGGCATGTTGGACAGATGATGATAGACATAGAAGGGGAATATAATCATCGATGTCGAAATATAGGAGAGAGATATTGGTTTCGTGTATTAAACCAACACATAAACCGGAGGAGCCAAAGACGAATTGCACTAAAAACATCATTGGATAGTACCTAAGTATTAAACGGTAAATAATTTAGAAATTGAACATATTATATTGAGCCTTACAATACGGCAATACTGATTCAACTTAACTCTATCATTTTAAAGACAATAATATCAATGATATGAGAAGTTTAGTCATAAAATAGGAATAATTGATGGTTTGTTACCTTGTAACAAGAGAGAGGAGAGCTGTGAGGCCCTTAGGGTTTATTCAAGCAAGTGTGCCGAGGACTAAGAGGTCGCCTTCTGCCTAAGCAGTTTCGGCTGACCTGTCCTTCTTTGCCGAGAACCAACACCCAAGGAGTTCTGTACCATCACAGCTCTACTCGTCTCACATTAATAATTACTTTGATTTTGTAATTTAATTTGTCTTGGTTATCTGTCATATGCTGTCAAAGTTGACTACACAAAACAGGTGGTAATAGAACAGTTTCAGTATTGCCTAACAAGTATTGATTTTAATTATGGTTTAAGATGATGGTCAAAACCTGCGCCAGCTAGTTATAAAACATTCATCAAGAGAACAAGGGCCGGGGCGGACGTACGCGCTGAATTTATCTATGATTACGTAGTTTACTGTTCGCGTGAATCAGCTCGCCAAGTGGCAGCCGTCATGGCCGACCAGTGGCGATAAAAACGAAAAATACTGGTCTAGCGACTTTCGAATTTTAGAATTTCCTAATTTTGTGAACAAATTTTAAAACTATAATGAAATATATGCACTGTAATACATCTTAAAACATTTATCAGTTTATATATATCAAGCAATAATAGTGAGGTAGTCTTCGCTGTAATATGCTTTCTCATATAAGCATATGGCCTATTACTTCTGAATATTATACTACTACTACTACTACTACTACTACTACTACTACTACTACTACTACGTCCCATAAAAACATGTCATGACAAACAATAAAGGTGTTATCAACAACCGTTTCATTTCTTTCTGCGAGTTATAGTTCAATATATAGAATAGATACGTAGTGAATGCAAATCATTTATTTATTTAATATATCCTTGAAACCACGACATATAGGACCAGTATTATGTTATAAATATAAAGGTTTCAGCATGCACCCTTAATCAAATATTATTTGCAATGTAGTTTTAACTTACACCTAAAAAGCAATACCCATCATATCGTTGGGAAATCCCTTTGCTTTTATGTCGCGCCAATACACTCATTCCACCTGTTTTCAGATCACCACCTCTTGGTTTTACCCTTCTCGGGTTTCTTGTGGCCACACAAGTTGTATCTGTTGGTATTCTGAATAACAAGATTAACGGAAATATGCTGAGGTAAGCAATCCTGAATACAAAGCTACGACACGATATGTTCTTGGGATCACTTGCAGCCTATTTGAATACATCATGACAAAGCCATTTAAGTTTCTACAAGAAAACTCCAATACCGAAAGACCACTATCCCAGTGTTCAAAACAGCAAAATGCCTGTAGATACGACTCCATCTCAGATCGAAAGGTTTACATTGTCCTCTTAAGAACAGACCATTTCATATTCTGGGGTGGGTTAAAACATCTTGCAGGTTATCTTATAATCTTATAAGGCGGATTATGTTTATTTCACCAGTTTCAAGCATAATTATTTTTTTCAATGTATACTCTGGGGCAGTTTATGTTTCATAAAATGCCAACATCTAGCGCCACTACCCCCCCCCCCCCCCCCCCCTCTTTGATTCATTAGCTCACACCTACAATGTATCACTTAATTTTAGGATGGACAGCGGGTACTTCTCCGATGTGTACGCCAAGCCCTACTGCCGGGTGGGCGTATTTGCTATCGGGATGATGCTGGGGTATATCTTAAACAAGGTGGAAAGAAGAGTTTATCTCAGAAAGGTAACGACAACAAACGTACACATGGTTAGATAATAACTGCTTTGTATTTATTAATGATATCCTATGTCCTATGGTAGAGTTTGTGTCCACTGCATCCATTCAAGTCAAATTCAACTTGTAGTTTGCACTTAAATACTAGTATGTGACGTCTTCTTATCTAGTCAGTATTTACCCTTCTTAAAGAATCTGTTGTCGTGTGCATATTCACGAGCGGGAGTAATAAAATATTTTCTTCCATAATTAAATGAATTTTATTTTTAATATCTTTACTAATAGTAGACATCCTGTTCTGTGCTGGAACATTGATATTGTATTTGAGGCTTGTCAAAAGGATGTAATCCAATCCGTTTTAGCTGCCACTTCTACTTGGGTGGTTGACGTCGATGTGCACGATGACCTTCGTGGTGTATGTAACGTACCTGGAAAACCGAGTAGGAGGGAGTACATGGACTGCCCCACAGACAGCCCTGTACGAGGCGTTTGCCCGCCCGGCCTGGGGTCTCGCTGTCTCCTGGCTTATATTTTCCTGCAGCATTGGACAAGGGGGTACGTTTGTGACATGCAAATATACACACAGGCAGGAATGTGCAACAGTGTTTTAACATAGAAGTTAGGATAAGGGCCATTGAGGAACGCTGAAACGATCAATGTTTTAGATAGTTAAATGAGTGACAGCCAGCCTTCATTCTTACACTTGCTGTACATTTCTTTTGTTTGAATGCGAATTCCAATATCAAGAGAATGCAGCATTCGACTCGAGATTTTTTATGTATATGGTAAGGGTGTTGTCGCTTTTATTTAACCCTTGGTGTCATTCGTAATGCTTTCCTTTTAATTCTGTTTCAGGGTATATTGGTAAGTTCCTATCTTGGAACTTCTTTCTTCCCCTGTGTCGGATCACATTTGGGATATATCTTATCCATCCTCTCGTCATCGTTGTCGTCCTTGGCGCAACCCATAACCTTGTGTTTCTCTCACCTTTGGAGCTGGTACGTTTCATTTAAAGACCATACAGAGGTGGTAGTGTCCTTTTCAATGAAACCTGGAATATTTTCTGAATGAAGCAACCCTTCTTTGACTTGTTTACCTCTTACCCTGTCTGGGATAAAATAAGGACTGATCAGCCCGGATTTTAATGTCATTTTAGTGAGTGGGGTATGCGTGTTAAATGTCGGCATACTATCTCACAGTCATATTAGCAAACAAACATACACACATGTATACATGTCGCTACGTGAGTATAATAATCTTGAAAGCGACGTTAACACCCATTTCACCTCTCCTCACCTGTTTTCAATTCTGATTCTGCACTTCAACTATAGTAATAGCGAGCTGTTACTGATGCGCCTGATTATATTTTTTGGTTTGACAACACCATACCAGAACACTATAAAGCTATGAGTACTGAAATACTGTTCAAAGCGGCGATAAGCCAAACTCACTCACTCGTTCAATTGATATATTGCTGTCAGTTCTTGAATTTGTTGTGGCTTCTATTTTGTTTCACTGTTTTTCTTTGTGTAACAACAATAAACATATATTACAAAATCTTATACTTATATGCCGTGCGTTCCAGCATAAAATATGATAAAAATGAGTAAATGCATTTAGAAAGCAATGCAATGAATCTGGCCTGATATGAAATATTTGATCGCAACCTTGACCTTGAAAGGGTACATTTATCTGTACATCCGTGTTCTTGTTCTTTTCCAGTGGCTGTTCTGTGTGTCCATATTGGTGACGGCCACGGCGTTGGCCCTGGTGCTCATGTCGTGTGTTGAACAACCTTTCGTTAGACTGGAAAAACTTATACAGACAATTGCTTAACAAGATTATATACTCATGTCCATTGCAAAATGGTTCTGAGAATAGTCATATCTGTATTGTCTTTAAGTAATAACAACTCGTGATCAAACTATTCGGGCCTAATCACAGGCTCATGCATAATATATGATGTCCACACATATTCTTATTTAATTCTGTCATGTTAGCAAGTATATTTAATTAAGTATTATTTTTAAAGTAATGATAATCGTGTTGTTGTTGTACATATCTATGATCAATGCGAAAAACAACTATCTACATATGACGCATCATGACGTTAATGAGTACAGATAATGTGCTACTTTCATTCGATCGAAACGTTGCGTGTTTCATATTTAGATTTCAAGTGCAAAAAATCTGATAACCCAGCCTATAAGTACTTTGTCTAATTAAGTATATCCTGACCATTAACAAAATATTCAGTTTAACATCCACTCAAAGTGTTCAGGTAATTAAAGGCCCATGTCAAATATTGATTCCAAAGCCAAAGTAGTTCAAACACAATTTTATTGTATTTTCGAAGGAAGGTAAAGTGACAAGTGAACGTATCTGATTTTGAGATTAACTGGAGGCTTCTTTTATCCGTGTGCAGCATTCCGCTATCTCGCTCCCAATTCCCAACATGGGTACAATGTGTGAAGCCCATTTCTGGTGTCCCCCGCCGTGATATTGCTGGAGTATTGCTAACTACTGCGACGTAAAACTAAATTCACTCGCTCACTCCATCTTGCTCCAATCCGAGATAGAATGTATTATTCGTCGCTGTTGTCAACTGCTACATGGTGCTATAAAGGTAGCTTGTCATGTTGTGCACACTGAACATGCTCACTTTTAACAATAAATGATCCAGAATCTTTAACATGCCATACTTATGTGTTTTTTTGTTGTTTTTTCTCTCGGGTGCAGGATACGCCGCTAATGTGTCATTTTTCATATTTTTTAAAATTTAATTTTTATGTTTCATATTTTCAAATACAGACATTTTAAATAGGAGTATTACTAAATGACCTATTTATGGCATGCATGTTATTCTACATATATTGTTCCTGTACTTCATTTATAGATTCACAGTTACAGTTCTATAGGTAAGATCTACAGTTCGCTCTGCATTTAGCGATGACAATATAGGCATAATGTACCATTTATGATAGACTATCTATATAGACTATCTATCACTAATGGTCCTAGGGGTTTAATACAGGTCCAGTGAATGGTTTATCGATATAGGGACTTACTCATTACCCCAGGTACGGGCAAGGTAAGCATTGTGGCCCCTTCTCTGGTTGATATCGAACCTGTTCTTTATTTCTTTTCACCTCTTGCAGTTTATCATCCTTTAGTTTGTCGTATTTATCCCAGTTGAAATGTGATAATCATTTACTGTTCTTTTAAACTCTTGATATTGGACGATAGGTGACAATAAACATGTAGGTGACAACTCGCATCTTATGAGTGAGTGAGTATGGTTTTACGCCGCTTTTAGCAATATTCCAGCAATATCATGGCGGGGGACACCAGAAATGGGATTCACACATTGTACCCATGTCGGGAATCGAACCCGGGTCTTCGGCGTGACGAGCGAACGCTTTAACCACTAGGCTACCCGACCGCCCCTCGCATCTTGTGAGTATAGTCACAGATTCACAAACAAACACACCGAAATGTTTCCGACAATGCCGCACTACAGGTTACAGGAATGTATGTTGATCAGGAAGGGATACAATGCGACGGAAACAAACATACAAATAAATGAAAAAGGACAAAATAATTTCCATAATCATAAGAAACCTCCACTAAAAGGAGACTTACGATTAATACTGTACCCGACTGAAAGCACTATCGATCTCATTTACACATATCTTTATATATCAATAGCCCCAAGCTGGTTTTATGTTCAAATGGTTCATAAGTAAAATATGTACGGGTTGAAAATAAAACTCTATATTATCATGTTGTTTGAGGAGATCAATTTTTCTACCCATTAAATTCCAACATATTTACTTATATTATCTTAATTATACAAATTTAGGTATATTAAGTCAATTACATGTAGGACGGGTCTATCATAACCAAAATAGGTAAATTTCAAATGTCTTGACAAGCCATCTCTACCCCACTGTCTAACAACAGGGGTATCTGACAAATGGGGTATGACCAGTATAAATATGCGCAAATCACCTTCTAAAATCGATTAAACAATCATTCTGCCGTGAAACTGCAAATTATTCGTTACTTATTGGTCAGTCAGAGGCTATGAAATCACAAGAAACCTCCTCTGATTGAAACAGCTGGTTTGACGGCCGCATTAACCGCGCTGAATTTAACACGCAGCCCGTTCGGTTCCCAAGTCAATAATAGCTCGGTTAAATCTACAGGTAACCTAGCTCTACATTGAAAACACAGAATGTTTATCTCCTAAGTATATTGGCGATACAAAAACATGGACAACAAGAGAACTCATGAATAACCAACAGGCACTTGACATCGTAACACAATGCATCCCTTACGAAACCATTTCCATCTGTTTCATAAATAGTTTTTAACATTTACAGATGTCAACTTATACAGTTACAAATATATTTGCTATATTCGACACAGAAAGTAATATTTATGCGTTGCATGGTAACTGGGATGTTAGTATATATTGTCATTTCCCTTACCATACAGACATATTTAACATTTACACTTAAATACAAAATGATGTGTGCTTCTTTCAGTAATCCATTCATCTTCTTTTCACTGCTACTTTGCTTTTTACGTTCAATGGGATCTGTTTCTGGATAATCGAAACTTGTATTCTCTGGTGTTGGCATTGTGTATTTCATATTTCTTTGTCAGGGTGAAAGGTGTGGCACAAAACAATCTCTGAACACTGGAATCCTACAGAGACATGGAAGAAAGAAGCTAGTGTAGCTACATAGTGGCACAGAGATTACCTTTCAGATAGTGTCGTTAAGCAAGCATTCATGAACCTACTGGTGGGGACCAGAACTAAATACACCATTAAGAAGAATCTAATAGCATTATAAGTATAACAAAAAGGAAGGTATTTAAGCTACACCAAGTTGCCAACAGTTACTGACCTATTTGACATATTGTTTGTAATATGATGATACACATAAGCGAATTCAACAAAAACTATATACAGCGTCTCTGTTAATTCTAATTGGCTGCTTTACCTCAGTTGGAGGACATTAACAGATAACTGCATTGATTATTTCTCTTTATATGTTGGGAGATGCAAGAGTGAAATTGTAGTCAAGGTATTGGGTTCTTCTTTAAAAGGCCATCAATGTGTGTGTCATTAACATTGTGAGGTGGCGTTGTAATTTCCGGATTATAATTTCCTGTTATAATCACAAAACGACGCAAATGGTGTGTTCTGCTCATTAACCGCCGAGTCGTTTAAGTGATGCATTTATGAATCGTTCTCATACAGCTAACTTACCTGAATCTCTCTCTGTTCTACAAGATTAAAAGGGTGTATAATTTACGACAAAGGTGTATTCTTCTGATTAATTAAGCAGCCGTGTTTTATATGACTTTATGTTTCCACGTGCACGCAAGAGCATATTAAGCCCAATGTTCTATCACGCAGATCCAAATGAACATCAACATGTGTCATGAGTATCTTAAAATGAAAGCGCCATCACTATATGAACAATTTGTTGTTCTCTTAATACTCACTTCTTGAACTATTACAGAATCTAAGCAAACCAAATAACTTTGAATTAACATTCTACCTAGCTCATTGTCATTGAATGAGGTGAGGTGAAATTGGGTTTAACGTCGCGTCCAAGATTATTGCACTTATATAGCGACGTGAATGCACGTGTATGTGAGTGTGTGGCTGCTTGTACTAGCCGGACTGATGCCGATTTATAGTGCTAGCTCACTGAGATACCATGCCGCAGTTTAACATGAATATCCCACTCAGACACAGTATACTGACTCCGAGCCGACCAGTCCTTGTTTAAGCCCCTTAATGCCGAGCGCCAGACAGGGTAACAACAAGTACAATCTTTTAACGTCTTTTTGTATGACGCGCCCCGGGATCGAACCCTGGACCTTCCGCTCTCCGGGCGGACGCTCTACCACAAGACCACGGAGGCGGTCGTCATTGAATGAGCCCAGGGATGTTTAGAGTTTGCGATATTAAGAAATAAAAATAATGTTATTGAAACAAGTTCCGTCCGTTGGTATGACAGTGCGTAGTGCAGCTGTGTGTTTATTAAGTTGGTGATTACTTGGCGGATGAATAATATTGGTGTTAACAACTTCATGTTCCTTTCGTGTCCGGTGTTCTTCTCAAAGTCAAAACTGTTTTTTTTTGTCCCACGTGCATTTTGAGGCTGGGATTTGCCGTTGTTTTATACCTACCCCATGCCTGAGGCAAAACTCACCCCAACAGTCCTTGGGGACCCGCAGTATCGATTGATCACATGGTTGATGGAAGCCGCCGAATGAATCAAATGCAGTGAAAAACAAACGTTGGTTTTGATAGGGGATTTCACCGCGTTGCGATAGGACTGTGAAGCAGTACAGAACATTTCGCTGTGTTCTGATTGGACGCTGACACAGCTCACAACATGAAACAGCTGGACAAAACAGCCAGGACGTATAGACATAACCCAGACGCAACCCAGATGTTTTGAACTTGTTCATGAAACTGGCGCAGAAGATATAGACGGCATTGGCAGATTTGCACTTCGACATCAACAGGTGAGAAAACATATGTAATTGTACATCACTACAATACTTATCAAACGTTAATAGAATTCATTTTTAGAATGATGTACAAAATATGTTGACGGCAAGCGGTTGAAATTGAAATCTACCGTTTTTTAATAATTGTTTAAAACGGGCATTTTGTTGTGCGTTGACTAAACTGCATCGGTAGAGTTATTTACATATGACATGAGGTGAGGTGTGGTGACATGGGGTTTAACGTCGCGTCCAAGATTATTGTACTTATATAGCCACGTGCATGTACTCGTGTGTGTTTGTGTGGCTGCTTGTACTAGTCCGGACTGATGCCGATTTATAGTGCTAGCCACTGAGATACCATGCCGCAATTTAACATGAATACCCCTCTCAGAAACAGTTTACTGACTCCGAGCCGACCAGTCCTTGTTTTAGCTCCTTATTGCCGAGCGCCAGACAGGGTAACAACAAGCACCATCTTTTAACGTCTTTTGGTATGACGCGGCCGGGGATCGAACATATTACATGAACCCAGGGGACAATCCTGATATGCAGAAATATTCAACAGTATCCCGATGATTTACTGGCGGAACTGAGCCGAAAGGCACAACCATTGCCAACAGAAACACCCTGAATACAGCCGGGTTGAACGGCAAATGCGACACGAGAGGGGTACTGCTCGTTTTTGTTACATATAAATCTAATATTTCGGAATTCTGTAAATTCAATAATGTCTCAGATATACGTTTCCTGATTCACCTGACGTGCCAAGTTGTGGACAGGTTGTGTTTGGTGTCTGAATTATAATCAAATACAGACTGACGTGTATTACACAGTTCTTCCTTCGAATTATCTGATTTGTGTTTATATTTAGACTTTTCTGAGTCAACAACCAAATCAAACTGATTAAAAAATGTGTCACAAACAATTTATCGTCACGTTCAGATACAAACTTGGCATTTGTCATCTCCGACAGGGTCGTTAAAGTAAGAACCAATGATCTACTTCCATGACTCCAACGTTTCAGCAAATCAATCAAGTCAACAAATGAAATCATTTGACCACAAAAGTGATGATAAACGTGCCTTCCATTAGTTTCACATGGTAATTATGTGAGTTTTTAGTGTTTTGTTATATGTAGGAGAATGTACGAAA